TTATCCATAACCATATTAAAATATCCTACCATAATAACATAACCTTTCTTTACCTTCTCCATTTCTTTAATAACTGCATCATAACAATCTCCCTGTTTATTATTAGGTGCGTAGACGTTAATCAAGGTGTATTCTTCCTCTTTCCAGACAGGAGGGCCTGGCGTGCTCTGGTCCATGGGGTCACGAAGAGTCGGACACGACTAAATGACTGAACAACAACAATATTCTTCCAAACCCATTTTACCTCGTATTATTATAAATCTATCATTGCAATCTTTAACTACCTATTTCACTATAAATTCACAATTTTTAAAAATATCAATTGCCACACCTCTAGATTTAGAGGTCCCAAAGTTTTTGTCATAAATGTCTATATTATTCATCTTTAATTCATTGATTCCATTTTCTGATTCATGGGTCTCTTTGCAGAAAGACCATGTCCACATTATTTTTCTTCAGTAATGCTTCTATTCTTCTTTTCACTGTTGATCCCAGGCCTTTCACATTTAAAGTAGCAAGCCTCATTCTTTTACCCATTTAAGTTCAAGATTTCTCCTCATAATCAGCCCTGTGTGCAATCCCTCCCCCCACAAGCTAACAGAAATAAACTAAAATTTAAAATTAACATAACAACATACAATACTTGAATCCTAACAATCCTGTGAACAAATATCTTTTTTCTCACCCCTCCATATTCCCCCGCAATAACTACTAGCGAGGGCACAAGGTGGGGTGGGCGGGACGCCACCACCCTCCGGAGGAACTACGACCAGAACCTCGCCTCTGCTCTTTTAATTTAATGTTTGCCTTTCTTCTTAATATTTGATAAGATTGAAGCCCCTCTCTCCCTATAATTATAAGTAAAAAAAACCCATTAAGATCAAATTATTAATAATTTTTAGTTTTGTTATTGCTACTATCTAATATTAATATAATTAGTATAATTATAGCTGCAAACTATATATGAAAAAAACAAGGAGAAAGGAAAGAGAAAGAAAAAATCAATACAGATGAATGACGAAAGAAGAGAAAAGTAAAATAAGAAAAATTAAAGATTTGAAAGGGGGAAAAACATCTGTTGATCCATCTTCTAGTCCTTCAAAAATCAAGTTGTTTCTGGTTCAACCTTCTATTCCTTTGCTTGATGTCACCTTCCTTCTCTTCCTGCCCTACCGGTGTTCTAAGTTAACACTTTGTGAGTTCTGGTAGATGTTTGTTGCTTGTCTAGCTGCGAGCGAAACAAGCTCGGCTCTGTTACAGAGTGAAAGCAGCAATAATGAGTTTGGCTGTCCCCCAAGTGTCCCCAAATTGGTTTGAGCAATGCCCATCTGTTGTATTTTTCAGCAATTCTGTTATATTTTTCCTCAACATGTGGTGGTCATTTTGTGTCCTGATGAAATAGATCATCTGTTGCAGATTGCCACGATCACTTATCTCCTGGAGACTGTCAAACTCTTTGTGGTGCTTAGGGTTGATCACCTGGGCTTAAAATTTTTAAAAAATCTCTTGCATAGGTCAGTGCAACACATCTTTGCCTTTCTGTGTGCACAAGCGGTCTGCGCTTAGAGTAGCATTCCATGGCATTTAGAAGGCTACATGGAGCAGGGGGGGGGGAATCCATGAGAAGAGGGCTAGCCAAACAGGGTAGAGTTGATTTAAATCAAATTTAAACAATTTAAATCACTGCAGGGTGTATAAAAATCAAGGACTTTTAATTTTTTTTTAAAAAAATGAAAACCAGATCTGTAAATTTTGAATTGGATTTTAACTTCTTTAAAAAATCATTGATTTTTAAGCATTTTTGCAACGATTTAAGTCATGACAATTTGAATTCAATCAAATCCACCCTGCAGCAAAAACAAATGAGTTTTAGACCGTATCGGGACAGCTTTTCAGCTGTTATTCTTTCTCCGTGAAATATTAAAATAAAACTATTGAGAAAATGAGAAAATGATCTGTAAAAGAAAAATGCATTCGGATACATGCATCAAAAATCCCAGGAGAAATAACAGAGAGGGAGTGGGGTAGGACTTATGGCCCTCCAGATGTTGAAGAGGTCCCAACATCCCTGGCCAGGGTAGACAGTGCTGAGGTGAAATGGAAGTTGCAGCCCAATAATATCTCGTCCAGGGTGTGGCTTAATGTATGTAAGGACACAGAAAGCATGGTTGTTGTGGGTTTTTCAGGCTCTTTGGCCGTGTTCTGAAGGTTGTTCTTCCTGACGTTTTGCCAGTCTCTGTGGCCGGCATCTTCAGAGGACTGGAGTAGGAACTCTTCCTACATACTTCCTCCATAGCTTTCTCCAGATGATTTGAAGTAATATTCTCACCATACTCAGCCAATATGTTCCCATTAACAATGTCATCTTAGACATTTTCTTGGCAGTGTTGTCCTAATCATAACATTTACGTCTTCACAGAACCTGTCAGGAAAGGGCATCTCATATTCTAGGACAAAGATTTCCTTCATCTCTGAAACTCTGGTGGACAGCAGCAGTGGGAATAATGTTGCCAAGGGGAAGGAGAAACAAGTAGGCACAATCAGGGCCCAGTGATTCAATTGCAACATGAATGACGTAATTGTTTTCAGCCACATTTTGTATCAGCTGTCATGCTACAATGTTGCATGATTTGAATTTATTTTTTGAACTGCGCAAGTTTTCTTTCAGAATTTATTAGTAACAATGAACGGGGTACCAGGGTAGTGTTTGAGTTGAACCCAGGTCTCCTTTGTTCTAGTTCAAGCCGAACCACTCTGTGAGATATTTTGGTTTCCATCTTTGTGGGCCGATGGAACACTTTACAATTTCACTTAATGATTATAAGTCAAATAAACACGTAAAATATTAAATAAACATCTTAAATGCTTAAACATGTTGTATCAGATTATTGCCCCCCCTCAGGGCATTGGAAAACTTTCCAGTTCAAATTCTTTTGGAAAACCCACATCCTTGGAGACATTTGTGTGCGTGCATGTCTGGTTCTCCTTTCTTCCTTTTTTTTGAAGTACTATAACTCCCAGAGCTCATAGCTAACATGGCACTGGCTTTGGGAGTCTTGGAGCTATAGCTGAAAACTCAAGAATTTCCTGTCTCTGACTGTGGTATGGGATGTTATCCAGTCCTTTGTGTTGAAGCCAACACACATTCAGTTGTCTGTTTTAGTAGCAAATTTAACTGTTTTTAAATTTGTAATGCCGCCCAGAGTAGATGTTTGGTCGAGACGGGCAGGGTAGGAGTCCAATAAAAATAAAAATAAAGAAATAAATAAATTAGCATGCGCATGAGGTTTGAGTGGGAGAGTGTCACCTTTTGTCTCTTGTCTGAGACACCAAATTATCTTGGGTGGGCCTGCCGAATCTCTAACTCCAGACTTGCAGAGTCCCAAGCTATGCCCAAACAAGCCAGTGCAGGTTGAGTGTCAGAAAATGATGCGCAGCCAGACAGAAAAGGAAGGAAGGACAGGCATGGTTGGACTTTCAAACAGCATACTTCTGGAAAGTTGCCTACCGGCTCTGAGGCGGCCACGGTGACTGTGGCAAGTGACTGACTGATGTGGTGGAATCTGGAGATTTAGCTATTCTGACTGTATCGCTAAACCCTTTGACATATCTTCTCATGTTTTGTCATATGCAAACTGATGCAGTTACTTTCAGTTGTGTAAGGGAGCAATGGAATGAAAAAAAAAAAACAAGTGTTGGCAAGTTAGTCATTGTGAGGCCTGTCGGCAAAAAGCCTCATTGGGGAATTTCAGAACTCCTTAATTTCAGTGCTTCTGACTAACCTTACTGCTTAGTCAGAAGAAAAAAAGTCATTGTATTTAAGCCAAAATTGCATGCAGATTTTCAGGCCCTTTCATGTTTGGCTTTGGACCATGCCCTGTGCTGCGATTAACATGTGTTATCTGCTGCCAGTCAGATAAGAATTGCTGCCTGGGGTTTCTGGGAATTTCAGGCCAAGAACACCTGGGTTACCCAAAGTTGGGAGCCACTGCTTTAAATGGTCACTTCTCCCTGCCCAACTTATGTGGGAGAAGATTCTTCCCTAATTTGTTTGTCTAGGATTCTGGCCTGAGTGTTTATATTTTTGTGCAGTGCTTGGAACGACATTTCAGGGAACTACAACTCCTAGAATTCCCTATCCAGGAAGGGGGGGGGGAGAGAGAGAGAGAGAGAGAGAGGTCTTCACTTTTTTCAGTCTTTATCATTGTTACCTGGTTGAAGAGAGTCAGGTGGGTGAAACCTTTGATTTTTTCTTCACCTGTTCCAGAACCCTTGCCTTCACCATCTCCTCTTCCTTGCGTGCCCTAGGGAAATAGATAACAAAGGGCCTTACATTGCTAGTTTTACCCTTGCAGCTTTGGTAAAGCAAGCATTGGGAAGGCTTTGCCGTTTAACCCTTCTCCCCCCCCCCTTCCTTTCAGCCTTTCTTCTTTCCAACTCTGGTGGTTTTTAGAATAAGGAGACAAAGCACTGCAGTTTCATCGGTGGTTCTTCCTTTCCTTCTTTCCCCAGAGCTAAGGTCTTGCAATCTGCATCCCTGCTAAGGGGGTGCCCTCTTCAGAGGAGGTAAGAACAAAGCCAGTCCACCCACCACACCAAGGCACCTTGTCAAGCATTTCTTGTTGTCAGCCTGGTCCGTTCCACCAGCCACCGGAAGAGGGAACAGGTTGGATGAGGCACTGTGATAAATTCAGCATCCTACCTCACTGTCAATCAGCAAGAATATCTGATTGCAGGCAGAGCTCAAACTGATTGCATGTCTTGGAGGGAGAGAGAGAGAGAGAGAGGGCTGCCTCTGTAGTTTGTAGCTTGTGTGCAGCATTCAGTTATCGATATCACACATCTGTGCGCATTTATTGAGTTATAAACTCAAAGGCTGGGGAAGCCAGAGCCGGAGAGGGACCCATGAAGGCTACCAGCTGTCAGTGGCACCTCCCTGAGTAGTGTAAATCTAAGTATTTCTTCTTCTTGTTGTTTTTATTTTATTTTGTAATTCACAGACACTAAAAATCTCCATGGGGGCTGGCTAGGATGCTTTCCAGGCCTTATGCAAGAATGAAGTGGGTGTTTGCCGGCGGTACAGTGTAAGGGAAGAGACATAACTCCAAGTCGTGGTAAGTTTTATAGCACGGAGGCCTTGGATTTGTAATAACCGCATGGCTAGCAGAAACTCAATAGGTGAAGTTTCATTGGCCTCAGTCAATAAAAAGGATGGCAACCCGAAGCCCATATTTATGCTTGCTACACCTAGTGGCACTTGGAGGGCACGCTGTGTCTCATGCTGACACCAGTTTTATTCTATTTAAATAAATAAACAAACAAGCAAGGAAGGAAGCAAAATCGCCCTCATGTTCCCTCCTTTGCCCCTGCTCTCCATATTTTAGAAGAGAGTTGCTCATTCTACAGACCAAGTGTGAGAATGTTACCCTGATATGTGTAAAGGAGGGTGGATGAAGTCATCCTGTGGAAACCCAAGACCAGGATAGTCCTTGTCACCTGCTGGGGAAACACAACCCCCCCCCACTCCACAACCCTTTGTAGGGAAATGCCTTCCTGTCCCCCCCTCCTTCCTCTCCAGCTGCCTTTAAAAAAGCTCAGATATGCTGGGATTCCGCTGGCTGCCAGCGAATGGGATGTTGTTAATTTGTGCTCTGGGAGCGTGGAGTTCTCAGGCTGTTAACATCCAGAACTTCATAGATTTACACCCTGTGCAGTTGGCGAGGCAATTAAATTTCCCAGCAGCCATGGCCTTTTATGAGATGAAGTTCTTTCAGAGGATTTGAAGTAGACCGAAGAGAGGGAGGCCCCATTTTCACACACTTTCCCTCTGAGGGAAAGCTGGATTAAATGAGGTTCCCTGTCCTTTAAATTTCATCAGCAAGTAATTTGAGGTTTCTTTCCATCTCCTTCCTATAGATTTCCTCCCTGTAAAGCATACAGTTATTCATTATTATTATTTTTAACTGTATCCCATCTTTCTCCCAGGGAGTTCAAGGCAGAGTACATGGCTCACTTCCTTCTTAGTTTACCCACCACCACCACTACAGCTCAAGGCTGTTGCAATGGATGTACGCAGGCTTTATCTGGATAATTATCTAGCGTACTAAGGTGTGTATTGAGGACACAACTGACCCACACAATCCATATGGCAGATGGGTATGACTGGAGTGTTGCCCTCTGCATTGCATGGGAGAATAGTATTGATACAGGGTTGCCTCTTGCCACACCATGCTGGATAGCTCAGTGGTTGAGATCTGTGGATGTGGAGCCAGAGGTTGGGAGTTTGATTCCCTACTTGTGCCTTCTTGACAAGGGCTGGGCTCTATGATCCATAGGATCCCTTCCAGTTCCACAGGTGTATGGTTATAATGTAAAGATCACATTTGATGCCAGAGGGCATCTGAGTAGGGGATCTGCGTATTTCTGCAGCTCTATAAGAGCCATATAAATGTGTTCTAATTCTGTGCTGCTACAGCAGCCATGCAAGGTAGGATTAGGTCAGGGAACATGTTGCCTTCCCACCGTGGTATCGTCTGCGGCACCAGCCCGAGAACACTGATCCCCATGCTGCAGCCAATCTTAATCTCGGGTAGCTCCAGTGCCATGTAGTAGACCTGTCTTGGTTTGGGTTAAGCTGTTGTTCCAAACAGGGGAATGGCTTTTTCTGCCTGTGATCAGACAGTAGCAGAAAAACTGCCCTGAGGTAAAGTTCAAGGCTCCTCCTGATGTGGGTTGCAGTGCCACAAGGGTCACTGAAAGGAAGGGGCAGGATATTGTGCTTCTGTGAATAGTGTGTGTCTGGCTAGCTTTGTTTGGAATTGAATTTCATAGGCAAGACCAGAAGCAGGTGTTGCAAAATGAATTTCAGTTGATAAGCTGCCACGTTATTTCCTTTTTTCAGGAGGAAGAAAGGAGCAGCAGAGATACTAAGATGCAAAGAAAGATTTTTTAAAAAACTCTTAATGCTAAGGTCAGAAAGATGTGAAGCTCCCATATGCTGGATGAATATCATCCATTTACTGGATGGGTATGCTGGATGAATATCATCCCTCTTCATCCATTTACCTCAAAATTGCCTACTCCAGTAAGCAGCAGCTCTTTCCAGGGTCTAAAGTAGAGGAAACCATTCCTGTGATAGCTGTACTTTTGTCTTGCTGGTGGCCTTCCCACTGGGGTGACTTGTTGGCCAACAGGATCCTGGCCTAGATAGTCCTCTAGTGTGATCCAGCCGGGCTGTTCTTCTGTTCTTCTTTGCTGCTACCTGATCTTTTAAGAAGAACATGCCAGGAGTTCCACTTGCAGCCTTCTACATACAGAGTGTGTACTGTATCAAACAGCCGGAGTCTCAGAGGATAGGAGATGGGCCCTGTGCCTTTGATTGGGAGTTTTGCCATCTATTTCCTGAGTGCTTGTCTAGTCAGACCAGAGAATGGTGAGACTAGGCCCAGGCATCTTTATTAATGCAACCTCTAGAAGTGCAAGCCCTGCTCTAAAAATTCCATCTGCCTAGGAATCTTTTCTATGAGTAGAAGAAGCTTGTGGCTGAGGCCAGCTGTGGGCCTTCCAAGGAGATAACAGGAGACGGGCCAAAGGACAAGCTCCCTTTGAGCCAAACCAGGTCCAAGAATGTGTCCCGGTTAGTTTTGCTTGAGTGACAGTTGCATTCCTAAGGTATTTCAACTGGCACTGGAGCTATATGGTGGTTTTATCTGCTGATTGTTTGCAGAAGGCGATGCGAAGGGCTTGGCTGCCAGTTGGTGGAATTTCTTCTAGAACTGGAGAAGAAAAATGGGTGTTCCTCTCCTAGAACCCTAGGTAACTGCAGTGGCCTCTTGTACTCGGGATCATCTGTAATACATTGTTTGAATCAATCAATTAATCTAATCTAATCTAATCTAATCCACAATTTAGCACCGTGTAAGGTGCAGTAAGTATGACTCCATAGCTACCAGTGATTTGTGCCCCTTCAGCTGCAGGTGGAATTGGCGGCTTTTCGATGCCAACTCGGAATTAGTTTGCAGGCAGGGTGGCAGAGGCATAAATAAAGAGGGTTTCGTCCCCTGCTCTTAATGCTCACTCCCTGCCGTCACCTGCCAGCAAACCTTTTCGTGCTTTAATATTCTCTCTCTCCTGAAGTGTGGCTCTTGAGTTTTATTTTTTTCCCTCCCCTCCGAGACGGCACGTGAGCAGAGGTAGTTGTCTTTCTTTAATCACAGCTCAGAGCATTTATAGGTTATTTACAGTAATGTTTTGTATCTTGAGTGAATGCTTTACTAATTATGGTAATAAAAACGGCAATAAAAAGAACATTCCCCGTGGAGGAATATATTTGGAGGCCTTGCCTGGTTCACTCGTAAGCAGAGCTGTGATAGAAATCGCTCATCCGTTCAGTGGTGTAAGAAATAAGGCTGACGTGGAACGAGCCGTCATGGATCAAGGTGTGACATTCACTTATTGCAGGGGGCATCATTACGGATGGATGGATGGATAGAGGGTTGGATGGATGGAAGACAGACAGACAGATAGGGCTTGACCCCTTGGTAGTCGCAGTCGGCACCTTAGAACTGTGAACCAATATGGGGCTGCCACCTTTTCTCCCCTTGAAAATTCTTTAAATGTTTGCTGCAGAAAGAGACATTCAATACAGGTATCCCCCCCCCCGAAACCCCTTTTTCCTGCAGGGACACCACATTTCAGGGAAGGCTTGCCTGGTGCATTTCTATCCCTTGTGAGGAGGACTGACTGCAAGAATTCTGCTATACAAAGGCAACATCCTTTCTTGGATGGTTTGTGTGGCTTTCAGTTGTTTCCACAAATTGGAATACATTTCTGTTATAGCAAAACTTCAGGGCAGACAGACACTGCTGGGACAAAGCCTGTGGTTTTTTTCAACGTGGGAGGGAATGCAGAAGAACTACCACTCATTCTTGCAAGGCCATATTTACTACCCACTGTTTCTTCGAGTTGGGAGGTAACGGAGTAGTCTCTTGCAGTAAACATGCCATAGCAACAGGTACTTTCTAGAAATAATATCACCTTGTTCTCCTTGATTTTAGCAGAACTTTTCAGTGGGCAGAGGTTTATTGCAGAAGACGTCCTTGAAGCAAAGTGCCATGATGTGATGCCAGGGATATTCTCCAGCTTGTGTGGAAAAGATACAGCCAAGTAAGAAGAACTGTCTCTCTCTGCTGCCTGTGAGGGACAAGGGAGATTGCCTTATACCAGTTTAGATTGCATTCTTCATCCAAACTCTTGTTGTTTGCTCTGACTGGCAGAGGCTCCTCCCAGAGACTCAGGCAGAGAGTCTGAGATCTTTGCTGAAACAAGAGATGCCAAAAGTTGAGCCTAGGATAGCCTGTGTGCAAAACAGGCACTCCACTATTCAACTTGACCTGTTCTAGGCAAATTGTTGCCCCTATTTTGGTCTTCTTTTGTGGTGTAAAACTACACGGCTAGATGTTCAAAGCCCACGTGCAGTGAACAGCCCTGTTGTTTCACATAGGGCAGCTGCAGAATCATCATCAACAGCAAAGCTGGAAGGGAACTGATGGCTTAAGCTTCTGTCAAGGGGGCCCAATGGGAAATCGAAATCCCAACTGTTGGCTCCGCAGCCAGAGACCTCAGCCGCTGAGCTATCCATAAGTTTAATCTGAACTGGTTTGAGGTATATGATTTAAAAGTTAGCAGTCACATAGATCATTTAAAAAATAAGGATGTAGGATAGATTAGGGTCTAATCAGAAGGAAAGGTTCCTGTTCTGAAAAGCTGGTTTTATTGGAATAGTTCAAGTTAGTAAGTAAAGTCTGAGGATAAAGACAAGGCACTTGCGCGGTGCAAAGCTACTATCTTATTTTAAGTCCTTGCCCATCTTGGCTGTTAAAATTTGCTAAGGATATGATAGTTGAATGGGACACTCAAGTCATCAGTGCTTCTTCTCCAGGAAGGCCTTGTGCTCTTTAAAAGAAACTAATAAGGGTCATGCCTAATAAGGCTCATGCTTAAAACTAATTTGGTGACAGGTGACTTGAATAATTACAGACCTATCTCAAATGTTCTTTGTCTGAGCAAGTTGATGGACAGGGTGGTAGCTGACCTGGTAGCAGGTGCTCTTTGAAGAAACTAATCGCCTGCATCCATTTCGATTGGGGTTTAGGGCACGACATAGTACTGAAACAGTATTGGTTGCCATGAATGAATACTGTATCTTTGTTGGAGAAGCAGTTTTTTTCTGTTAGATTGCAAGTTTTTCTTGACTCAGAATGGTTCTCTCTCTCTGTGTGTGTGTTACCTCTGCCTTTGAGTATCTATACTTATGTATTGGGGGATGGCATAACTGGCCACCTCCCGTGAGCGCTCCATCAGTTCCTTGACTCAAGGGCTGAGGTGGCTGTTGTTCTCTTTTGTCAGGCGGGGAAGCTGCAACGAACTTCTCGGAGGCCACAATGAATTCTTTGGAAGGCAACAGCTTGGCCGAACAGTTTCTCAACATCGAGCGAGAGCAGATGATCCGCCTGAAAGACCTCACCTTCCCCAAACCTGTTCAGTATGTCTACAGGCCTCTGGATTATGCCTGGGAGCCCCACCAAGACTATGTGCGCCGATATTGCCAGGCACCCAAAGAGGTGCTGTTTCTTGGCATGAACCCTGGGCCTTTCGGCATGGCTCAGACTGGGGTAAGTGGACAAATTGGGGTTGGGAACTCAATGGAATCAGCACTGAATCCACAGCAGGGCTTGACCTCACAAACTGTTCCCAAGGCCAGGGCCTTCACTGTAGGGTGTTTGTAAGGGAAGAAGGGGGGGGGACTTTCAACCTTTTCCAAGTGCCATAATATGAAATCTTGGGATCATAAAGTTTTGAAGGGCATCCCTGGTCGCTTTCTTTAGAAAATTCCAGTGAAGGAAAGCTTTCTGAGGTAATCTGATCTGAGACTGAACATGTTGTGCTTTCAGGAAGTTCTTCCTAATGTGTGGCCCTAAATCCTCTCTGCCCCACTCCAGATGCTGGCATCTTTTGGGTTTGCATCTGCCCCCTGGAGCAGCAGTGGAGGAGTTTGTATTTGTACTCATCTGTATGATGCCTTTCAAGTATTTTAATTCAGGAAAAAAATGAACCCATCAATCTGAGAACCGTTGCTAAGAGTCCAGGTCTAGTGAACCATGTCCAGTAGGGTGTAGTGGACAGAGTAGTGGATTCAGACTCGGGAGGCCTGGGTTTGAATCCTTACTCAACCATGGAAATTCACGGTGTTTGTGTAATGAGAATATCTCATTTTCCCCGAAAGACCTATTAGGTTGGTTATAAGTTGGTTGCAGATGTGATGCAGCAGAACAGCAAAGGAATTTGTGACTCTCTAGATCGTGTTGAGGTATAATTCCAGTTGTTTCTGCCCTTGGACCTTGCTGGCTGATGCCAGGAAAGGCTGCAGTTTGATAATGTTTGGTGGGCTGCTGCTTCCCTACCTTGCTTTATGCCACACTTCATATCCACTGACAGCAGGTTAGTACCCGCATTAATTAAAACAAATGCTGTGCCATTCTTCCAGGTAAAATATAGTGAAAATACGGTACAGGTAAAATTAAAAATGAAATCTGCTCTTCAGTTTGATGTGGCTTCCAGTGCTGATCACATTGTTTCCCCCCTAAAAAGTCATGCAACAGTAGTGAGATCATTATGGGTGATGGCAGGAAAACAAAATTTAAAAAAAACTAATAAGAGAAAAGCTGCTTCGCTGTTTCCTGTTACTAGTGAATGGCACTGTTCTAAATCATATGCATTTCTGGATAGAAGGATCCTGTTGTTGCCTCTCCAGTTTCCCAAATGTGTCACGTGGGTGGAATTGGTGTTCTTGGTCTTCTCCCTTCTTAACTAAGTCAACACCCAGACAGATCACTTGGTTTCTACTTTGATGTGGTGCCAGGACAGGAAAGAAGTCAGAAACTGATAGTGCAGTAAAGTGCCTGCTGACATATGGCGAAGATGTAGCTTAAGCATGTGTGGGTGTGCATGTGTAAATTGATTGATTTTCCTCTAGATGCCAGAAGGACTCAGCCCTACAATGTGTACGAAGGCACTAATCTGCAAACGGTCTGTGGAGAGTTTTCTTTCATGGAAGGTGCCGTAAATACAGTACAGGAATTAGGCTGTGGCTTGCAGTAAAGCAACAGCTTCTTTTTACTGTGTTTATCCACATGACAGACAAGCTGGTTTAACAGCTGTCCCTTCTTCCTGTGAGTTCCAAGGAATTGCAGTTCTGTGCAACTTGGTGATTTCTAACTGGATGTTTAGCAGTCAGACTTCTACCACATCAGACCATTGATCTATTCAGGGATGGATGACTACATGCATTTTTGTTTATTCTTTTTCCAATGTAATGTCTGAGTCATTGTGTTCCCTGTTAGTTTGATTTTGTTTTTAAATATCAGCATTGATCCCCAGTCTCCTGAGATATGAATTATTATTCACACTTTTGCTTAATATATACAGTTTCTAATGAAGGCAGTTCTCCCTGGTTAATGATTTTTATGTAGTTTTAAAAATATTTTTATGAATGCATATGAATGCAGTTTTCCCAATGTCATTTGTATACACTTTGATTTTTTTGCATTACATGCACATGCGTGCACATGTGTGTGTGTGTGTGTGTTTGTGCATATCGTATACACTTTGAATTTTTTGCATTACATGCACATGCATGCACACGTGTGTGTGTCTGTGTGTGTTTGTGCATATTACAAGCTTACAAGAGTGGCAAACACACACTGCATTTAAATGAAATGTTTTGGCTTCTGCCTTCTTCAGTTACATTGGTGGTATGTTCCTCAGCATACATTTACCAGAGCAACTGAAGAAGGCAGAAACTGAAACATTTTACTTGAATACTTCTGGTAATTAATCATTCTTATATGTTTATATGTATATTTTAGTGATTAACTGTATCCTTCAAATGCACGCAGGAAAACCTTGATTGAAGTGCTGCTTAGTTCTTATTATCTCTCTATATTTATATACACACAAACACACAGAGGAGTATATGTCTGTATGTACATATATATGTATATGTATATATATGTGAGCGTGTATGTGTGAGTGTAAACATATACTGTATATGAGGAGCGATAGGACAACATTTGGAGAAGTGGAAGTGTCAAAAAAGGAGGACCATGTTACAAATCTGCATCCTGTTTTGGAGAGTGTGAATTAAGCAGCCTCACATTACAATCTGAATGCAATGAATTTCTCCTACTGACTTACTTCCTGCTGGCACAATATGGTCTATACTGGGGTGGGCAACCTGCAGGCTACATCCACCAGCCCCGACCACCAGCCCATTTTGGTGCTCTCTCCAACAGCTTGAATGTTTCCCCTCAGGTTGCGATTTCCATGTAACAATGATTCCTCTTCTGCAGGTGCCGTTTGGAGCTGTGGCGCCTGTCCGAGACTGGCTCCAGGTACATGGGCAGGTGTCTCAGCCAGACTGTGAGCACCCCAAGAGACCCATCCGGGGCCTGGAGTGCCCCCAGACAGAAGTGAGCGGTGCCCGCTTCTGGGGATTCTTTCGCTCGGTGAGCACCAGGCCCGAGGTGTTCTTCCGTCACTGTTTTGTGCACAACCACTGCCCTCTGCTCTTTGTCAGTGAAAGCGGGCGCAACCTGACCCTGGCTGACTTGCCTGCTGCCCAGCGTGAACAGCTCCTGCAGGTCTGTGACGACTCTCTGTGTGAAGCTGTGAAGCTCTTGGGTGTTAAAATGGTCATCGGTGTGGGACGTTTTGCTGAGCGGCGTGCTCGCAAGGCTCTGGCGGCTGCTGGCAACCCAGTGCGAGTGGAAGGCGTGATGCATCCGTCGCCTCGCAATCCCCAGGCAAACAAGGGATGCTGGGATGCTGTCATCAGAGCAAAAATGGATGAACTTGGTGTGATGCCTCTCATTACAGACTGATCTAAGATGCTGGAGGAGGGGGCCTCGGCTGGACCTCGCCTGTCCCTGGGTGTGATAGGCCAGTAAGAGAGAAGCTTCAGAGCTTGGGTTAAGAATATACAAGGGTGCTTGAAAAGATTCCTTTTTTGTGGGACTACAGCTGCCAGAATGCTCCAGTCAGCATGGTCTGCTGACTGAGATTTTAAGAGCAGCAGTCTCAAAAAGGAACTTTTCCAACTATTCATATGTGTTGACACTACCTCCGCTTTTCACACTACTCTTTGTTTGAACTCTGGAGATTGGCTCGCAGTCAGTTTCTGCAAGTTCCTCTGGAGCCCAAAGGCTGGATTTTTCTTAGGATTTGGTCTGAGCACCATATTTAATGAATTCAAGCAATCGATCTCAGCATGTTTTGATGTGAAACCTCGTTGGGGGCAATGCCTGGCAGCTTCTGCAGGAGCTGCTGCCTAGTGGAAGGCCTGGAGAACCTGCTGAATTCTCCACAGTCAAATCACAGTAGATGCCAAAACCGGAGTTCTGGGCAAGGCTGTTCAAGCTGGGTGTTTGCAAACTATTTTCTTTTGTTGGGGGAGTGTGAAGGTGTTGGAATATTGCAACCTGCATATGATGCCTTTAAGGAGATTTTAGCTGGGAGGGGCTTCTATGGACTGGGTTGATATTGGTCACAGCCTCTCTACCTCACATTCTTTTTCCCACCTTCTCCACACACACACACACACACACCATGCCTGTCAGGGTTCTTTCAGTGTTTGCCATTGAGTCAGAAGTGGAGAGTTGGAGTGAAGGGTCTTGTCATCTATATAAGCAGCAAGTTAGTCAGTAATGAAGCTAGTTAACCAATTAAGCTCAATGATGTAACAAGTTAACATTTTTATACATATTTGTTTTTTTTTTATCTGTGAAGAACTGGAAGTAAACAGAAACATTTTGTTCTTTCTCATTACCAGAGTCTCTGAGTGAATGATTGAGACAACAAGTACCAATTGAGGTAAACTAACAAGGGGTGATCTGCTGAGGGAGACTTGTAACTCAATCTGCTTTGTAGGGACCTGACTGGACCATTTTATCTCCAGTGCAATTAGAGAGCATTTGTTTCTTATTTAAGCCGCACGCAAGTTTCCTCACACACTCTGCCTCACATTCTTTGTTGGGGGGGGTATATACATGGAACTGTCTTACACCGTTAGATTGTGGATTCATCTAGGCCAGTGTTGCCTGCTCTGACTATCAGCAGGTCTTCTTCCCAGCTGCTGCAACAAATGAAATCTTACTGCTGCAATGAAGTTATTGCAGTAAAGTATGAATTGGTTGTCTAGGATAAGGGGGAGTGAGCTTTCCAGTATATTTTGCTCTGCTCTTTGCAGCCCTTCACATCCCTTTATCTCCTCATCCCTGGTAAGCAGAACATTTGCTAAGGAGCAGAGCAGAACCCCCATGAAAAAGGAAGGGAAAGTGGGAAGGAGGTGCATTTCTTCCTCATTCCTTCATGGAGTTTTCCAATAAAAGAGATCAGACTACCATGGATGCAGCCATCCTGTGCCCATTGTCAGCAGATCCTGTAAGAATCACTGCTGAAAGTTGAGAAACGTTGCTCAAGATGTCTGTTGCATAATTTCAAGGAGCATTGCAGAAGTATGGCAGTTTCACCTTACAAGGAGCTTGACTGCAATAATTTCGGAGATGGAGTTTTGCATAGGGATCACATCCACAATTTCCTGCTGTATCCTGGGAGAGAAGCTGGTCTCTATGCACTTTTATATTCATATAATTAAAGCAGTTACAGGCCGGCTACTGGATCTTGTTACGGCCATTTGAATGCCGATCAAAGCCAAGCTGTGTAAAATGGGTGCACTGAGAACAGAGCTCAGAAAAGTTATTTTTTTTGACTACGACTACCAGAATCCCACCTGCCAGCAAAGTGGATCTTAGACTTGAAGTCCAAACAGTAATATTTCCAGGCTTTAGTTGATAATCCGCGCAAGCTTTGTCACATTTGAAACCAATCCAATGTTATGTTTTCTGTGCCTCCCCTCCATCAACTTTTGCTGGCTGGGCAGCAAATATAGTCTGGTAATTGCTGGTTGAATTGGACTTTGGTGCATGATTATTACATTAAGCATGAGCTTTCTGCACTCTTAACCATAACTTTGTAGTCATGTGGATTGGCACAGTGTGTGTCTTTCTACAGTGCTCTCTGTCTTCAGGGAGCAGATGGCCATGCTTGGGGATAGCAATGTGTGAGGGATAAAGAGGACATTTTGTATGTGTCCAACCCACACTTTCTGGATTGTCCATGAGCAGGATGCAATTTGCGCTTGGACAGCTGACAGATGTTGACAGACAGCTGCAAAAGCATTGGGGTGTGTAAATGTGCACATTTACAAAGCAGACCAAACACTGCTTAACACCCTTCACTCAATGGGGTTATGGACATAAACATGCCCACATTTGAAATAACATGTCGACAGAGATGTGCGCATTTGGAGGGAAAGAGGTGAAAACAAGAGGTAGATTCAAACCAATTTGTTTATTCAGAAGAACTGGGCACAGTCAAGAAGTGGGGGAAGAAAGTGGGCAACGTGAGTGAGGATGTTTTATTTTGTAAGCCGCCCCGAGTAGACATGGTCTAGAGGGGCGGGGTAAAAATCAAATAAATAAATAAATAGATAAATAAATAAATGTGCAAATCTAGGCTGGATGGTAGCCTCCTTTTGCCCAATGGTACAGCCCAGCCATCCAGCTTAGATTTGCACATCCTCACTCAGGATGGTGGCTTCTCAACTCTGTGAATGTTGGATGGTTTCCTCCCTGGAAGGGCTCCCCTGCTGAGAGTGCCCCCCGAAACATTCAGGCCAGTTATGGTGGGTGTGTCATAACAGTGGCCTATAAGAGCCAGCTGGTTGAATGGAGTTGACCATTTGAAAGGAAAGCTGAGAGATGTGGTGTGGTGGAATGGGCCTAGTCAGCAACATAGGTGACCAAGTTCTTCTCCTAAGCCAAAATTCGACCCTGCCATCGCTTAGCAACTGTACTGAGTGTATCCTTCCTTCCTTTCACCTGTTTCGTTTAAATAGCTAAGCTTGGAGTTGGGGGAGGGGGGTGGGGACAACTTCATGTGATTGCAGTGAACAGAAAGTAGGACTCCAAATGTTCCTGATCCAAACGAGTGTCATCTGCTTGGTTGTTACTGTACCCGAGGGATGCACATCTGGAGAGAGGAGGCAAGGAAGTCAGTGATTCATGCTCTTAGTGGCTGGAGTCCCATTGGTGTCGTGTAAGGTTTATGTAATTTGCCTTGGTGAATAGCCGCTAATTAACAAGGTGCTGGGGCGTATCTTGGTCATGCAGTCGGCTGCGTGACATAACCTGGCACCTCATCAGTTAGTTGCATTTAGCCACGTCGTGCGAAGATTACATGAACACCAACAGGGTTTTGGCCAGTGTCCCTTCATGACACCAGCCAATGCTTTATATATTAAGGTGTCCTTTTTTGGTGTTTGCTGCAGTTTAGTTATTGCCTGACACGCTGCCTCCCTGTAGCAAGATGGCTAGCCTAGTCGAAATGGAGGAGCCAGAGTGATTTAATCTCTCCGAAGGTGCAAGGGACCAGACACTCCCCAGAATGATAAGCAGGAATTTATTTATTTATTTTATTAGATTTATACCCCGCCCATCTAGACAGATAGTCTACTCTGGGCGGCATTACAAAATTTAAAAACAATAAAACCAATAAACATGCAAAAAAATCCAAGATGTACAAATGTAAATATTAAAATATAGCAGGAGGGAAAGCCTGCCTAAATAGCCATGTTTTAAGTTTACTTCTAAAGACACCCAGAGAGGGAGCCAGGCGGATCTCTACGAGCAAGTTGTTCCAGAGGCGAGGAATCCTTCCTTTCATAAAAAGATCTAACTCCTTGTGGCTTGCAGGTGGGAAAAGATCTCTGCAAGAGATATAAGACCATCCAGTCCATTGATGCAAACAAAGGGTCTGCACCACAGTCGGAGGACACTCTCCTCATAGCTTTCCCACTGTGTTGAGGACAGCTGCCCTATCTCTCCTTATCCAGCAGGTGGCCCTGTATAGAATTCCTTTCTAATCTTTATGAGCTGTGGTACTACATGCATCAGTTTTCCCTTTGAAGAAAGTTCAAGGTAAGTTCTTTATACCTGTTAATGTAAAATGCATTAAAAGACTGTGGATTAGAAGATTTATAACTTGCCACTTACTCAGTGCTAATGGGTGCAGTATAAAGAGGTGTCCAGGATGCCCACCTGGTTCCTTTGCGCCTTTGAAGTCTTGCCTGCAAGACATACGCCAGATAATGTGTGCCCTCTCATCGTTCAGGGGCATAATGGTTTCTCGGCTTTAATCCTGGATCTTGAGAGGTAATGTTACCGATAACCCAGGGTTGAGTACCCGCTTTGGGCTTGTGCTCCTGCAGCTCTTAAGTGCTGTCAGGATGGATGATGGATGGCACAGAGCGTCAGGATGGATGATGGATGGCGCAGAGCTCGCGTGTAACTCAATCCAAAGCTCTAAGAACAGCTGTCACTGTAGACCGCTTATTGGCTTGCTCCACTTTGTGAGCCCTGAGAAGACCACAAGGAGCTTTCGTGCGCATAACGAGGTTGCATTTAGCATGGACAGAACCTCCAGGGAGCCCAGCAAAATCCACCTTGCTCCAAACTGATCACCATGGAAGGCATGCTGCAGTCTTTAACATGGACTGTGGACCTCTTGCTGTGGAGTCCTCAGGATCATGGCTTTCTATTTAAAAACAAAAGCAAATTTGACATCTGTATGGTTTTGGTGATAAGAAAACCACCCTGGTAATTCTAGAGAAAAACCCAGGGAAGTGTAGACAGCTTTTACGAGGGGAAAATAGGCCAGAACCCCATGTGTATCATGACTTCCTGATCCTTTCTGTGAAAAAAAAGTTCTGGCATAAGAAACAAAAATTCGACATAGTTGAAAATGGATCCGGAAAAGGCTGACACCTTATCTTGTTCCTAGGGCACAATTGGCTGTAAATGCTGGTCTTGTTATTGGATGTAATATAAGAAACAAACTGTCTTATCATGACTTATTTTCAGTGTAGATGTGTAGTTTGCAATCTCAGCCACGGCAGATATTTTCATTCCTGATTTTGAGAGTGCAGAAGGATGGTGGTTTTTCCCCCCTACCACAAAAATCTTGCATGAAGCTGGTCAGAATATTATTATCAACTAATTATTTCAGCCATAAGTTCTCAGAGTCTACCAGTCAGCTAGTTAGTGGCTTGGGAATTTTGGGAGCTGTTGATGAAAAAAGATAACAACCCCCAATTTCTGTTTGTTAAGCCTGTGTTTATCCTCAAAGAGGTTCTTTCAAGTGGATTACAGTACAAACTCTGGTAACAGAAGTTGAAAAGCTTCAGGAGAGATAGCAAAGTAGGGCAGTGAGGAAGGCCAGTGTTGTCCTGGAGCCAGGACTCACAGGATTGAAACCCCAAGACTTTCTGAGAAGCTAGGATTATGACATCATCGGCCACTACCTCAGGCTTCCCTGTTTCCTCGACCTCAGCTGCAATCTTTCTAATGGATGGCAGAGAAATTGATTTTTCCTAGCAATAGTATATGGTTGAAACCTGTCCCCAAACAAAGCGTTGATTTTCAGTAGGCCATTGAGTGCCCTTGGCTTTACAAAACATATTCTCCACATTTGTTGGTGTAGATCAATTCAGTCTTCTGCATTTTTGGACTCTTGTGGAGTGGGCATGGCTTGTTATGGGGATTGTCATGGTGAACACCAAAATGACCTCGACATTGCTAAATAAGGATGCAGAGTACGAGGGCAGCAGAAAAGGAACTCGTCTGTTGATGTG